GCAAAATTTACAAGACAAGAAGATTATGTCTAGAAAAACGAGTCGTCAATTATGTAAAATGTGCCTAGTAGTAGTAGTAGTAGTAGTAGTAGTAGTAGTAGTTGTTGTTGTTGTTGTAGGAGTAGGAGGAGTAGGAGTAGTGGCAAGCCTCAAGGTACTGGCCAACATGATGGCGTCCAAAAGGTAAAGTCCTTGATGGCTGCTCCTATGAAAAGAATTGGAGTATTGGGGTAAGGGGAGCTTTATTTTCATGTTTTGGCCGCTCCCAAACATGACACGTGGCAAAATAGCCAGGGCCTGACACTTCGCTTCATCATCAGCATCTTCGGAGTCGAGAAACTTGGGAAGCTCCTGCTTCAAGGGCAGGACAACTGACAGAGACTACATCACATGCACGAAATCAGAAAGGTATCTCTCTGTCTATAGAATATGTGGTAGCTTCCCAAAACAGGGGGAGCCCCGTATAGACCCAGAAGACTATCATCCTTATTATAGGGCTCCCCAAAAAAACTATCCCTAATTTTGGAAACCAGCATGTGCATAGGTGTATACATGATCGCGCACTGCGCGTTCTGGCACCCGCCTTCCGGAGCCCACTTCCCAACAGCCCTCACCACACCACAAAGCCGTCTATCTAATTCCCCAATACCATTTCTTCTATAACTCCTTCCAACAGATTTGCTGTGAAACTTCCTTCCTTATTTCTGGTAGTTACGTTAAGACTTTGATATAACTCCCCATCCTAAGCCCCATAACCCTTAAAACCATTTCGTCCCCGATTTTACCATCCGCAGACCCCAGCCCACCCACACCACAGAAAGCGAGGACCGGCCCAGGCACAACCAATCTTAGGTGTTTAAGGTTTTAGGGTTTAGGTGTTTAGGCCTCAGGGTTTGGGGCTTAGGGCTTACCACAAGGGGTAGGAGTCACAAGAGCACCTCAAAAAAGACCTTCAAGGATGACCCAAAGTCATTAGATCCAGCCCGTCAAACTCGGGATGCCCGAAATTGAGCGAAGCTTTTTTAAGGAAACAATGTCTTAGGGTGTAGGGTTTAGGGTTTAAGGTTAAGGGTTCAGGGATTTAGGATTTTAACGCTCCTATTGCTCTAGCTGCGGATTTGCTGAGACGCACACCAGCAGTGCTGTATATGTATACAAGTATAAACTCCTCAAACGAGGTATAATAGGGGATTATGGAGGGGAGTATTGCAGGGGTTATTAAGCGGGATACCAAGTGTTTAGACTATATGTCATGTGTATACAAGCACTTCAAAGGTGCATGCAGTGGCAGCTGAGGTGCCTAAGTCAAAACATGTAAGATGTATTCCGCAGGCTTACCTGAACCCTAAACCCTAAACCGCTGCATAAAGCACGGACTTGGATGACGCCATGTCCTCAAACCCCAGAAGTCATATTAGCATAGCAGATTTATTTCAGGTCATGCAGGACATTGTGTCCGTTCAGGAATTTGCAGGGTGTTATATGACCCCTATATCACAGTTATCTCCCCCATACTACGTGGATGGTCGGGGGATATGGGTTATAGGGGTTATAGGTAGACATACGTATCGCCCTGGCCCTCCAAGTAAGAAAGCAAGCCGTCCTCTATGAAAACTTCCCGTTCTCGTAAAACCTGTCACGCGGTCTCAGCTCTGCCCACGCAATGGCTTGTTCTACGCAGAGGGTTTCCCAACAAAATGGGGTCTAGGGTTTACGGTGTGCACAGGGCTTCCGGACAAGTAGAGGTTTAGAGTTTGTAAAGGGATGTAAAGGGTTTGCCGACAAATAGGACAGACTCCCCAAGAAAGATGCCTCTCAAAGGGTCTGTCCCATTCGGGAGCCCCTGAGGTTCTACCGGACTCCTAGGGCTTTGAAACGACCAGGAAGGGTTTAGGATTTACGCGCCAGGGTTTTGGGTTTAGGGCTTGGGATTTAGGGTTTATAGGGTTGAGGGCCATTGGGGATCTGTGAGCATTATGCAAGAAGATTAAAGTCAAAGAAGACAGTCTGTTGAGCATCACGGCAGCAAAAACAAAAGAGGCAAGGGTTGGTTTTTTGCGCTATAAGTGCTATTCTTCCATAAGCACTAAACCACCCTGATCCTGAACCTCTGAACCCCCAACCCTAGACTGTTAACCCTAATTTTAGCTCTAAACCTGAAACCATGAGTCCTCAACCTTAAACCCGCAGCACTGAACCCGAAGCCCTCAACCCTAAACTACCATGCATCCATACCTTAAATCCCTAGACGCCATACCCGAAGTCCTGAAGCCTAGACCCTGAAACCCCAAACCCTACACTGGGTTGCTGTTAAGGAGTTTAATTCAAATTACTATAGTGGAGAGGCCCTAGTATCTAATATATATATATATACCCATGATGGTAACATATGGTAACTTGATTCAAGTTCCTTAACAGCAACCCAGTAAACCTAAACCCCTAAACCCCTAAACCCTAAACCCAAACCCTAAACCCAGTAAACCTAAACTTCCGGCCTTGTGCTGTTGAAGCTTGGCCTCTGCCTGAGCGATCATGTCTTCATTGATGCCAACCAAGGTGGCGAAGTCGATGGCCTTTGTGGTTTTTAGGGTTTAGGGTTTAGGTCCCCCTCATACACTCGAACACATTGCAAACCTCATTACGGGGAGAGGCCGGCCCCAGTTTTTGGAAAGCCGAAGATTGCGGGCTTCAGGGTTTGTAGCTCGCGTGAGTTTTCTTGGTACAACGCTCTTTGCGGTTTGTACCATATTTTGCTCGATTGGGGACCATCTTTACAAACCACTGGTACTACTCCTCCTCCTTTTCTGCCACAAGCACTGCGACTGTAACCGCCACCTTTGCCGTCGCCATCTGTTGCTGTTAGTAGGTCGGAGTAGGTTTTTTCCTATGAGGTCCTAGTAACTTGTCTATTCCTAGCAGGTCGTGATACCTTTTTATGCCTTGCAGGTACTAGCAGCAAGTTTAGCCCTAAATCATTAACATGTATCTCCGACCAACTTCTCCCTCCACACCTCCTCGAAGGCAGCGGTTTTACCGCGCACGAGGCCGCCCTGCACAGATGGCACAATTGTGGGAATATATATATATATGTATAAACAGATGTAGGGGATGGGACAGAAAATTGAAACGACCATTTAGGAGCTAGAGTTCAGGGCTTGGGGCTCCGTGGTGCTTAAGGGGGAATGGGGGAATGAGCGTACAACAGTCATGCGGGGGTTGTCTACGGAGTGCTGTAAGGATCCACTCGTACCAGTGACCAACAGAATATCTACCTCAAGTTGCTATCTTCGCTGTGCCTCAAAACTACACGCCACCAGGGGAGCACGTGCTCCCCTGGTGGCTGGGACTCTCTGATAAGCCGCAGACAGAAAGCTCCTATTTCCATACCTGGCCACTTCTGGAAGCTTTTCCCCTTAGCCCCAAACCCTAAAGCCTATATGCATCTTTGAAAGGTAACCTATTTAGAACGGCTCACAACAGGGTTCTTATGGGCTTATTAACGAGGAATAACATGTTAACCCTGAACCCTAAATAGTATATGGTACTTTTCATAAACATGGGGACGCCAATATAGACCCAAATATACTATGGTCCTGACTATAGGGACCCCAAAATGGTACCCCTAAAGCATGGAAACCCCTAGAGCCCAATCCCTTACGTCCTAAACCCCTAAACCCCTGATTTTAGAAAACCCTGAGCCTTGACCAGTATATTACATAACCCCAGGGTCTCTCAAAGCGCCGGCGGCCTTCAGGGCTTTCTCTGCGTCTGCTTTCACTGTGCCAGAGGTCTCCTCCTTAGCACCAAGCGGATTAAGGGTCTAGGGTTTAGGGTTTAGGACTTAGGGTTTAGGGTCTAGAATTTAGGGTTTAGGGTTTAGGATTTGGGGTTTAGGGTTTGCTGTGAAGTACCGTGCAAGAGGTGATGATCAGATGTCAATGATCCCTTATGTACATGGCTGCATGCGAGGTGCCGGCATGGCCTGAGTGTAGAAGGCCATCTAACACATTCACCCACCCCACGCCGTCTAAGGCAGCCAAGCCACCCAAACCTACTCCTTTTAGGGTTTAGGACCTAAACTCAGTTAAGTCCATCTTGGCCAACAACACCTTTTTGTTTGGATGTCGACTGTCTTTAATCATTTCTATAGCCAAGAGGCGAGAAACGTTTAAAACATTCGAGCAAACATTCAGACATCCTGAGGCCCTAGAGGCTCCTGGACCGCGAGGGCCTGGAGGGCTTGAGCCCTGGGCCTGGAAGGCCCTGTGGCCCTGCACGCCCTCAAGGGTGTGGGAGGCATGGGAGGGTGTGGGAGGCCATGGGAAGTCCAGGTTTTGGGTGGCCCCGAGACACCCTAATCCTGGGATCATGGGAGGTCCTGGAGACCCTGGGAGGCCCCTGCTGCGGCGGGCCGGTTCTGTTTTGAGTCGTTTTTGGGGTTTGGCCACACAAGAATACAGACTCATCAGGGGTTTTCGAGAAGTTGTTCACTGTGACACAAGAAGTTGTCACATGTCATTGATGCCTTTGCAGCTTGGATTGGCAAGCCGCAGGCTGGCTGGTTTTGGCAGAGGGGGTGCTGGGGTGGGGGGTGCAGGACCTCCTCTGCGAGCGAATTTCGGGACCAGGCCTAGAGGAGGGGGGCAACGATTCAAAATTTGTCGCGACCTTGTGGCTGTGCTGAGGCAGGTCCAGCTAGGTCGGTCTGCCCAAGAAGGGTTTCAGGGGGCATAGGCGCCGCCCACCATCGTAGGTGGGCGGCCTATGCCTTGAGTTTAGGGTTCAGGGTCTAGGGTTTAGGATTCAGGGTTTAGGGTTTAGGGTTTATAGCGTTTAGAGTTTAGGATTTAGGGTTTAGGGTTTAGTGCTTTTTTGCTGCTGCGCCCTCCACCGAAGCAAGAAAAGCCATAGGGTTAAGGGTTCAGGGTTTGGGGTTTAGGGAGATACACTGTCAAACATGATTCACTCTAAGTTCCCTGGAACCCAAGTAGAAATTGAAACTCCAGCGGGTTCTAAGGATTGTTGATCGCAGAAATTAAGCACTATGGGGAAATTCCACTCTCGGGTTGAAGGGTAATAGTCCACCTTAAGTAGATAGAATATGGGTATATGGGGATCTTATTACAATTTACCCCTGCCATATTCGATCTAGTTCAGGGGGACTATAAGAGGCCTGTTCGTGGCGAGGCAACAGAACCTGCGGAAATCCGGGAAAGGCGCATCGTCTTCTTCCTCCTCCTCTTCAGCATCCTCATCCTGCACATGGCGTAGCTGGAAGGGCATGGAATTCTGCATTCGGTAGACCGTAGACCCCTACCCTGTAATTGTGGTATGCTAGGTAGAGGACCCCAAAACGATCACCATTATCCCTGGAAGTCCGACAGTCCTATTACTGGGTGGGTACAAGATGCTCCACAAAAACCACACCAGGGACAAAGCCAGCAGTTGGTGTGCGTGGCCTCTCCATCATCTTCATCCTCCTCTACCAGGGCCTGGCAACTACAGCAGCAAAGTGGGTGGGGCGCAGGGGCGTAGGCAGCAGCCAGCCTGCGAAGGGGTTACCTGGGAGGGAGTGCCCAAGGCCATCTCGCTGCATTTGGCCCCCATGGCTGCAAGCGAGGCACCGTCGCATCTCACATTTTACACGTAGAGTTTCTGTGGCGGTGGCTGGCATGGCAGAGTAGGGTTATGGCTGGGGTGGATGAGTCCAATGCTCGGCCTGGCATGCTTCGCTGTCTTCCACTTGTCCTGATTCATTTGTTTTCATGGGGATGCTACAAACAGTTGGGGCTTTACACCCATGAGGTCATGAGGGTCCTCCTGTGTGTGAGGGACCGAAGCTGCGGGCGGAGCAGCCGTAGCAGCGCGTCCGAAAGTGCACCCACAAAAAGGCAGGGAATGAGTTTAACATAGGCCCATAGGCTACTCAAGCCACTTCGCGCATCTAATATACAGGGCAGGCAGGGACCCGCAAAGAAGGCCGGTGAACACCCCTTCTACCGCTTGAACGATGGGCTCAAATGCCAGGAAACTCAGACGAGTCGGAAAGGATTGACGGAATAACCTCTACATGTGTCCATCAAACTTAGAGGCCTACAAGTCTCCCAGTTATACAGCCCCTTTCCTAAGGATGGACACAAAAGTGCGCGTTGCGATGGGCACATGACTCACGTGGCAAGTGCGTGCCACGGTGCCACCGCAGAATGTACCACCTGGGCCACTCTGCTGCCATCTGTGGGTTATAAAAGGATTAAAATTGGGCCCAAGCAGGGAACCCCAAGAATGTTGTAGGAATTACAGACCCTGGTAGGTATATTCCTATGACATTCCTACTATATTCTTCGGGTTCCCTGTTTGGAGTTCCATGAAAGTCCTTGAAGTTTAGGTTCAGGACGGTTCAGACTCTGGGTGCCTACATTTGGGAGATTGCCCTGTCATGCTCAGCTTTGGCCCTCACAGCGGCGGTCCGTTATGAACATCCCTAAACCCTAAACCCTAACCCTAACCTTGAACCCTTAACCCTAAACCCTTATGAAATTTCTTGCACCATGGAAGCTGAGAAGAAGGCAGCCTAAGAGCAAGAGCTTGAGATACGTGGGAGCCCATGCGGTTTTCCTCATTTGACCCATAGTCTGACCTCCTAGTATTCCCCTGAATAACCGTATGGTAGTCCCTTATAGAATTCCCTATATAACCCCCTTAAAGGGGTTTAGACAACTGCTTGGGTCAATTCTCATGCCGACTTTTTTTTCACTACAGAGCAGCGCTGCTCGAGCTGGATTCCCTTCCCTCCTTTTGGAGACGTAGTACGTTGGGAAACCCAAGCATCTCGATCTCATCCTCTCTGTGGGTGACGAGGATGATCGCCACATCCGAGGTTTGCGCTAGCCGCCTGACAAAACCACTTCAGTTCGTAGCGGGATTTGGATGACTAGTTTTGGGTGGCATCCCTCCTACCAGCACCTCCTAGCACCACTACTACGAGTACTATTACTCCTGCTGCTACTACATGACTCCTCCTTGCTCATGCTCCTGCTCCACATCCTACTACTGCTGCTATTACGGCCGCTGCCGCTACTGGCACTGCTTTTGTTCTTACGACGAGAGCGACGACGGCGACAGGGGCGGAGGCAGCGGCGATGACGACCACGACAATGACCACCACGACCACCACGACCGCGACGATGACCACTGCCACTGCTAGTGCTACTGCTACTGCGAGTGCTGCTGCTACTCCTACTTACACCTACAACTGCGACTACAACGACAACTACTGTGACGACAAAGCGACAACTACTATTACCATGATGATGTGTCGTTGCTGACGGAGCACTGCAACAGCGACAAAAACTTCCCGCGGTTGCTGCCCGACAGCCCATGCGTAGGTTCATCCAGCAGCAGCAAGCGAGGTTCCTTCACCTGAGACATGTAAGAGAGTTTAGGGTTGACCCTTCTTCACACATACATGGAAGCCCGGAAGGGCCTCACAAAGATTACCGTCTTTTGAAAGGGTTGCAGTTTATGAGCTTCAATTGTTGAGGGAAAATTAAAAGTCCACATAAGGACCCGAGGGAGGGGCTAACAACTTGGAAAACCTGTGTAATTATTGCGTTGTGGGAAAAGAACTCAACAAAAAAAAAGTACGGGTTTTCTAGGATCCTGTTTGTCAGCTTGTCCCGCCATCTTCTGTGAGAACACATTGCAAGGCTCAAGCCATTCTACGACCGCCGTAACCATTGCAGTTGTCCTCCTTGTTATTCTTCTTTGTTGGTGCTGTTTTTATACTGCTAACTATACTGGTCGTGATACATGACCACTACTACTTCCTCTTCTTCTGCTGCCTCATGCCTGAGTACTCTATCATAGTTGCACACCCGATGTAACCAACAGAACCACCGACACCTTGAGAAACACCCATGTATGCCCTAACCTTAAGCCCCTAAATCCCTGAGCTCAAAATCCGACTGGGTTGCTGTTAAGGAACTTGCATTAAGTTTCCGTGTATAATAAACAATACAGAAATTCCAATTATGGTACGTACCTGAATTTAAGCTTCTCAAATCCCTGCTATAATCCACATACCGGAGTTTGCCACTTCCTCTCCATTTGGTTCTCAACTGTATGTGCAACATCCCAAAACCCTTGTAACTCCTGTATATTAACAGCAACCCCGTTGTGCCTGGCAGCTTTGGCAGCTTGCCCGGGGTTAGGGTTAGGGTTTAGAACCCTGAACCCTTAACCCAGTCACCATTGCACGGCAGAGCAGCACCAGCTTCTGCTGCCTCGAGAGTCACATGGCAGCTTCTCCAAGTAAATAGGGTTCTTTGCTTAGGGTTGAGGGTTTAGGGTCTGGTCCTGCCCCCACCCATTAATAGTCTACCCAGGCATATTAAGGTCTGTATATAATGATATTACAAATATTATCCAACTGTCAATGAGTGGGACTAGTATCCAATAAATAGTGTCTTGCTGTTGGTTGAATCAAGTAGGATAACATTCTTATACAAAATGGTGGAACCAAAAGGCGGAAATAATGCTACCCTACATTGGGGACTATAGGATGCTGATCAACAATGCTACTCGAGTGGAAAGAAATTCTATACATGGGGGTTCCTCAACATTACGGTACTCAAGGGAGCATATGCGGAGATTACTTCGAGGAGTTCCCTATAAAGCATTATTAAACCCTAAACCCTAAACCCTAAACCCTCTGTAGGGCTTTCTTTGCGGAAGCTCCCAGGGTGCGAAAAAGGCAAGGATCTGGGTTTAGGGATGTGTGGGTCAGGGCCGAAATTGCTCTCAATTGCAAGTACGGCTTATCCCCCTCCACGCTTAAAGCATCTTGCAACGTCCATGGGAACACAGCCGACCCAGGACCCACTCATGAGGTTATACATACCTCAAATGTTTCTGTCACTATAACTGACTCATGAGTACCCTGATTATACCTGCCCATGAACCTTTGACTACGGACAGTGGCACTGCCTTTCAGGAGGAGCACGGGTATATGACCCATCATGGTAGAAGTACTAGTACGGCTGCTGATACTTCTGCTGCCACTACTCCTACTTCTAATTCTACCACCAGTATCTCTACCCCTAAACCTTCCCCACCCATACTCTTACTCTTACTTGTACATGTACTCATCCTCTCTCAGCCTACTACTCCTGCTCCTAACCCCCTAACCCCCTACTTATGGGGACTAGCTACTACCACGATAATGCGGCAGAAACATAAAAACCAGGGCATTCCAAGGAGCCCATGGGAGAGTTCGAAGAATAAAGGGCTCGAAGAGAAGGGCTCCAGGGCTGCTAAAGCCTCGTTGCAGTTGGGGGCGATCACCAGCTCCTGCAGACCTCACGTGAGCTATAGTCTAAACGCCTCAAAGGGAGTTGTATAGGGGATTCTATAGTACAGGGTTTAGGGTCTAAGGTCTAAACTCCTGAAAGGGGGGTTATGTAGGGGAAGCATTATAGGGCTTGTTAAGGGGGATGCTACGAGTTTGGACTATAGCCTATAGCTGACATGGGAGTTCCTCAGGTCTATAAACGGACCATGGGGTTCTGTCTTGCGGAGTATGTAAAGGATATTTAGAGAAACCGCCACATGTCTTCCTAGTGGAAAGAACAGTTGAATAATCCCCTAGAATGGTCTAGGGTTTAGGGTTCAGGCTTCAGGCTTTAGGGTTTGAGAAGCCTGAATCTCAGACTACTGGCAGTGATGTAAATAAGACATACAATCATGATGTTGCTGGCCGCAAGAAACGCCAATGGTGACAACTAACATGACCACTGCCTCTGAGAGGAAGATGAGAGCAGCAATTGCAGCAGGACTCTCCAGCATAAACCCTAAACCCTAAACCCTAGATTGTAGTTTCCATGTTCAACCCTATATTCCCAATATACTAGACAAGATTCCATTTTCTTGTCCCTTATCCCGATGTAATCCCTAAACCCTAAACCTTGATTTCTGGGTTTGTGGGAACCAACCAAGGTCTCGACCGAGTCTGTCGATCCACTGAAGCACAGCGGCTGTCTGTACGGAGGTAGGCTCGACGTACAGGCCGATACTATCGAAAAGCCCAGAACATACAACGTCCCAAGCCGTCACTTTGCGATAAAATCGCGGGTCCGAAAATATCAGGTACTCCATGTGAAGCTCACTCGAGATGACACCAAGCTGTTTCTTGATGTCCCAGATGCTTTCTCCGCTTCCCTTCTGCCTGCCAAACCTGGCTTGCTGTTTTGGACATAGGGATCATGGAGGGGTGATTGCGGGTTGACAGTGGGATTATAGAGTGGTTGTAGGGACGATATAGGGCTTAGGATAAGATACGCGAATGGAAAATCAAATGGAAAAGACATTGAACAATGAAGTGGGAACTGGGTTATGTAAGGGGGTATCACTGGGATTTGGAGGCTCTAGTACTTACTGTATCTCTGTAGTATGGTAGCTTAGACCAAGGTGTCTGCAACCCAGACACAAGTGAATGTTCTGCTGGTATCCCTGTACATTCTCTCCAGTGATAAGATCAACCAGCGTGGTCTTGCCAGTGCCATTGCCGCCAACCACAATCCACCTTTCAGACTGTCGGACGGTCCAGGAGAAGTTCTTGAAAACACTGATGGGGCCATACCTCAGCGCGGTGTAGGATCTTGGGTTTAGGGTTTAGGGGCTCACGGGGCCGATGAGCTTCTTATGCCAAGAGCTTTTGGAAGTTGACCTTTTTTTGCACGGGATACCTTGAGTGAGAGATTCGTTTGCAGAGGTAGCCCATAAGATTGACTGAGCCATGTGGTCACAACTGCTGAGTCAAAAAGAATCTAAAGAAAACCATACTATCAGCCGAGTGCGTATTTCGTGCTGAAAGCAGCGCGTGCACAATTCAGGCTGGGACACGGGAATCTCCCTTGCGGTCCGTGATTGTTGAGATATGAGTTAATCTTCGAAAATGATGTAATGTAGACCCATGATTAATAAACCCCCTCCTTTTAAGGGCCCTGCTTTGTCGCTGCAGTGTACAAACCAATGCAGGCTCCCAAAGATAATCCACAGCTTACCTGACCTTGGCAGAACTGCAAGCGAATAAAAATAGGAACCCCAAAACCCTAAACCCTAAACCCTAAACCCTAATCCCTAAACCCTAAACCCCTAAACCCTAAACCCCTTAAACCCTTGTAAACCAAGGTTTACGGGGAATAAGTTGGGTCAATCCCCCACCCAGTAATGGGTACCACAAGGGACTATTGTAGGTATATTAAGGCCCTAATAATTCCTTATTAAGGAGCCATTACTATAGGGGGGATTGACCTAAGGAATAAGTCTGCTGGGTTTGAACATGGTTGAACCCTCAACCCTCATCCCTAAACCCTAATCCCTAAATCCTAAACTCGAATCCCTCAACCCCAACCCTAAACCCTAAACCGCAAACGGGCTGCTGCAGGGTGACATCTCTAAACTCCACCAAGGGCTCGCCCGGCTCCTGTATACCAGCTTGTTTCACCGGGCTACTTGCACCAAGGATTATGAATCAAAGGCTTAAGGATTATAGTTTAGGGTCTGGAGTCTAGGGTGTAGTGATTAGGGCTGAAGGCTTAGGGTTTACAAGGGCTACTGGGGACTTCTGGTGCCGCTTCATGCTGTTACGGGACTTTTTAGGGGTTATTAGTTTGGAGCGGTGCTTTTTACATAGATTGGGGATTGGGGATGTCTCCAAGTGGAGGGGCCCCTGGATATTGGAAATATGTGGAGAGTAAACTAATATCCCGATAAGCAAAAAAGTCTGGCATGTACTACGAGACTATAAAGTTGAGCAGTCTATAAGATATCGAAACATTTGAAATATTCTTCAATCTGACCACCACCAAGCCTCCCAAAAGGGCTGCAAAACATCCCTGTCTCGCAGTCACTGTACGTCGTACTCCACACCACATCCACTTGAGCCCACCTGGGTGATAGAATCTAGCCCAAATCTGTCACCCTAAACCCGAAACCCTCAGAACCCTAAACACTAAACCCTCAAAGCCCTAACACACACACCCTACATCCTGAGTCCGAACCCCTTAGAACCCTAACCCCTAACCCCTTAACCTTGAATCCTACATCTTCGGAACCTCACCTTAATGAACCCTGACACCCTAACCCCTCAGAACTCCAAACGATTTTCAACCCTGGAACCTCTGCTCAGCCAAGGAAGTCGGGACTTTAGGATACTCTACTGCAACTTCTACTGTAAACAACTCTGTTGGTTCAACCCCAAGCCTAAACCCTGAATCCCTAAACCCTGAACTCCCTAAACCCTAAAACCCCTAAGCCCTAAACCCTAAACTCCCTAAACCCTATACCCCAATACCCCTGAGCCCTAAACCCTGAATAGTAGTTTCCATCTTCTTTTCCATTCTCCCTATACAAGCCCCTATATAATCCCCTACATTACCCTTATATAATCCCCCATAAAACCATAGATAATCCCTATAAACCATAAACCCTACGTAAACCTGAAACCCTAAACCCTATATAACCCGTTATAATAGTTTCCATTGTCTCTTCCATTCTCCCTATATAATCCCTATGTTACCCCTACAGAATCTCCTATATAACCCCCAGTTAATCCCCTATATTACCCCTATATAATCTCTATAAACCCTAAACCCTAAACCCGATATAACCCGCTATAAATTATAGCAGTTTCCCCTTTCTTTTCCATTATCCCTACATACTCCCTGCATAATCCCTAATCCCAAGTCCTGCGAACTGACAGCCTGGGATATGCTGCTTGAACGGGCCGTCGTCGCAGCTACCTCGTCGGCCTCAGACGCCGGTCAGGTGCAAAATAAGGTTTGTTTAGATTTAGGGGCGTAGGGTTTAGGGGTTCCGGACTTTAGGGTTTAGGGGTCTGGGGGTTTAGGGTTAGGATTGAGGGGTTTAGGGGTTCAGGGTTTAGGGTTTTGGGGCCTAACCCTAGGGCTTTAGGGTTTAGGGTTGTTCTCAAAATTATGGGGCCCTTTTGGATATGGAGTCCAATGGAGCCACACTGTGCCAACTTGCGGAAATCCCGACTGGCTTAGACTTGCAGGCTCAGGACACTCCGGAGCATGTTTCTTTTGCGCGTTGCTACGGAGTCGCTACAAATAAATGTTGGCCGCTACAATCAAGATGATCAATTGCTGCTGTTCCTGCTTTGTCTTCATCACCTTTATTTTCTGCTCAATAGTTACGGCGCTCAAACCCATGCAAGCTAAACCCTCAACCCTGAACTTTCTGGTGCTTGAGGGAGAGTTGGGGGAGGGTCCCTAGAATAATCTCGACATAATCCCCATATATACCCGATAATTGTTTCGATATTCACTCAAACACCCTAAACCCTAAAGCCTAAATCCCATATTCACCCCCCCCACTTTTTGGGTAAAAGGAGACCAGGGCTTCAGTGCCAGGCCTGCAAAAAGTTGCTAGCCTGCTCCTTCATGTCTGCCCAGCTGCCAGCACCTTGGCTACGGAGTGTTTAGGGTTTAGGGTTCAGGGGTTAGGCGTTAGGGTCTGGGGGATTACGAGGCAACTTGACTGATCAATATCATGACGTATTCGATAAAGGGGGCCTAAAAATCGCTAGACAATTTTGAGGCCTTGACCTCTAGTCTCAACTCGTAGTATCCCCTTCATAAGTCACATAATGCTGCCCTATATAACCCCTTAACTAACCCTCTTTAGGGAGTTTAGGCTGCTTTAGGCTTCAGCTCATTGGTCATTGATTCGTCCCCTATTGTACGCGCAAGCTTATCTGCAAGGCTGGCCCCACATTCAAATCCAAGTTTGCATCTCAGATAGCCCTCACAGAAGCTTGAAGAGGGTTTAGGGTTCAGGGTTTGGAGTTCAAGAGATGAGCTTCAAAAACATGTGTTCATCGTATTCCGACGTTTCCGGCTACGCCATGGGGCCGTATGAGGCTATTTGGAAACCGCACTTGCATGAAGAGGCCCATAAGTTGTGGGTTTCGGGTTTGGGGTTCAGGGTTTTGGCTGTCATGCTTCCTTTTCTGGTACATTGCTTCAGGATGTGTCGCGCAACGCTATGTTGGGAAATGCCTATGCCTGCCGCCCACATCAAGGAAATGACCTTGTGCTTGACTGCTTAAGACAAAACCAGGAAGGCCCTTAAGGAACATTCCTCTAATCATGGTCGCAATCCCTGTCCCAAGTATCACCGAAGGTCTCTTTCTTAATATGGGGGACTCCCAACAGTAGGGGTACCCTTTCGCGGGTCCCGAATGTCGTGGGCTCTTGGAGAGCCTGCGAACCTACCACATCCTTTTGAAAATTCCTGGAGCTGTAACTTTGCCGACTGTTAGTAGGGAATAAGGGAAATGGACTACTGTATGATTGAGGATTACGCAGGAACTACTTACTATAGGCGTCCATTCCTCCACCCCCTGCTAGCAAGCCGTACGTTAACCCGAAAATCTGAAGCCAACACATCCCGCGTTACTCGCCCCAAATTTTAAGCCCTGCACCCTGGCCCTGAACCCCAAATATAAGTCCGCGCTGCAAGCAGTTCCTTGCGGCCTTCCCAGCAGTAAAACGTGTGTGGGGACCGGTATGAGGTCTTCCAAACGGTGGGCAACCGTCACCTGGATACCAGGTAAGCATGCTATGCTAAAGTAGCGACGTATACTGGAAGTTGAAAACAACTTTAGGTCATCACCGAAGGATAATGGAAAAGAAAATGGAACCTACTATGCTATGTAGGGTTATCTAGGGGTAATAGCTTTGACTTGGGCTGTTCCCCACGTAGGGTGGGTAAAAGGAACTATACTAGTGACGTGATGTTGCACACTATGAGCACCAACCACATGCAGAGTTCGACAGATATTGCCATGGCCATGACATTCCCTGTGCTGCTTCAAACAACACCTGAGTAGCTTTTATTTAGTGGTTGAACCAAACCCTAAGCCCTCAACCCTAAACCTGTTATAAAGTGCCATAACCCAAAGGATAATATATTCTTATTCTATATTGAGGACTACAACATCCCAAACAGGAAACTACTCTCTTGACATGAGGCTGTAGTGGGAGGTCCATGGGAAGTGGTAAGTAGTGGTAAAAGAGCCAAACCAAGTTTTACTTGTCTGATTATGTTCGTGTTTAGGGTTTGGTGTTTAGGGTTAGGGCCTAAACCCTAAACCCTAAATAGTAGTTTCCATTTTATTTTCCATTATCCCTATATAACCCCAATATATAAATATGTATACCCTATAACCCCTATAAAACCCAGCCCCAAGCCCTAAAACTGCATCCGGGACGCGAGGGTCTTGCTGTCATCATCAAAAACTGTCTGCAGAACTCTCCTGGGTTGTTTGATGGCGCTATAGTCTAAACTCCTTAAAGGGGGGTATATTTGTACCCTAATAATGGAGAATCGAATGGAAAAGAAAATGGAAAATCAAATGGAAACTTGTATATATAGGGTTCTATAAGGATAATATGAGCTGTAGTCTAAACTCCTGAAAGCGGGCTATATCATAGGGCTTATCAAGGCGGATGCTAGGAGTTTAGACCATAGCTCAACTCAACATGAGCAGGACCCCTTTATTGACCTAGGAAATACTAAGGCCTAAACCCCAAAAACGATCCTAAACCCCAA